CTGAACCCCCATCAAGGCTTCTCCCAGAGCAACCGGTCACTTATTTTTCGAGTGGGATTTGATTTGATGGAGCAAAGAATTCCAAGTGCCTGATTTTCTTAGCAAGTCACTCCAGCAGGTCTCTCTTGCTCTGACTCCAGGCCTGGAGGAAGCTAATCCCACTGGCACCCGGATTCCAGCACAGGAGGCAGAATATCTGATTGTAAGCTGCAGGTCTGTGGTGGATTCCTGCTTTCCCAGCCAAGGCACATCCGTAGGGCGATGCCCAGCACTCCCCTCTGCAGGCTGGGCCGCAGCATTTCAGCTGGGATATCGATTCTTTATGGGGTGATGCTGTATTTTAGGCTATCAGAATTATTCCTCTTTCTGTATTCCCCACAGATGTCTCATTGCAAGGTACCTTTTCTCAAACTGAAATGATTTTGGTGGCGTGGCAGGAGCTCAGATTATCTGCACATATCGGCTGCCCTGTGGGATGGGGAGCAGGACGTGGGGTTTAGTTAAGTGTCATCACTGCTTCTTACCATGAGACCTTTTTGAATTCTATCTCTGTCTAGGCTGCTCTTCACGGGGGCAAGACTCAATTGACAGACTCAGTTCAGATTTGTGCAAATACAGACTGCTTGTCATATTAAAATCCTTTTTCATTTCTTGTAACCTCCATGTATTTTATGTCCTTTTTTTGCTCCTACTTCTCGCTCCTTTGTCAACAGACCTCCCTTTTCCCAGGCACTGCTCTTTCAGCTTTATTAAATAGTGGTTGTAGAGGAAGCTCCACCAAAGTGATCTTTAATTAAGTATAACAGCGGAGACGACTCTGCTTCTACTACTAAAAAAAAAATGAACGAATCTTGCTCCAAAGGTTTCTTTGCTCGTTTAGTGCAGATGAAAATTCAGCACCTCGAGGAACACAAGTCAGGTTTGTGACAAGCCAGCAGTAGCCAGGGCTGTGGCAAAGCAGCAGATAGTGGGGGCATCCAGGAGCTGGAATTTCAGACTCTTCACAGAGCAGCAGCTGAAAGATGAGCAAGGCAGGAGTTCATCATCCTGCCTGAGATGAGAGTTCATGCAGTGACAGGCTCATATGATCGCTGGTGCTCTGAACAGTTTGTTTTTCACAAAAAAAGAGAGAAAAACAATTTCCCCATGAAGGATTTATTTTTTTTTTTCAAACATTTCCAAAGTTTCAATTATTATTTTTTTTTTTTTTAGCTGTTGCATCCCTTCTCTTCAGCAGAGGCGTACAGAGGTCTGGATCCCTGCTCCATCTGTCTCCTGGAAGTCCTTTCCATGTTCTGAAAAGCTGATTGCAGCTGAGGGACTGTCTTGCCAGTTTGCAAGCTTAATGTGGCTTGCCTGTTATATTTACAAATGGGGAATCTGTTGGTATTAATGAATATTTATTGCTCATTTTTTTCTGTTCAACTGATGTATTGTTTTTGCACGTTGGCTCCACATCTCACGGTTATCTGTGCATTAGAGGGAGGGTTGAGGAAAACCCACCAAAGTTTACTGACTAAAGAAAATGCAGATGATACTGTGGATTGCAAGGTACCAGTTCCCCTTTGGAGAATATGGAGGACAAAACCTGCGCTGTGGAGAACTCAATTCTCTTTCTTTTTTTTAATGTAGAGATACAGCAAAAGAAGGATTGTTAAGTTCTTAATAAGAATATTATAACCTTTTAGTGAATTGATTTAAAGAAGAGAACATAACTAACTTGCCTTTCTTTTGACAGACAATAACAAACACTTTGTTATGTTATTTTAGGAGTAAATATTTTTTTTTTAAAAAATAGAGTAGCTGTCTAAATTATAGAATCTAAAGGTTTGGTGCTGGGGAGGGTACAGAGAGAACCGAGGCTCTCTCTGAAATAAAGAGATGGTGTAAGAAAAACCTATGTTTAGTGCCATGGTCTCTGATCACAAGAGAGAAGGTTTGGAGCTTTGTATTTTGTATTCTTTTGGTAACCAACTCCCAAGGAAAAATTTACCAGCCTCAGACCTTTTCTGAGTGCTTTCCAAAGCTACTGCTTTAATTTTTTAATATTTGTAATATATTTTGAGGAACAGTTTACCAGGATGACAGTGAGAGAAACATCCTTCAGCCCAGGAATTCGCTCTATTTGGCAACTCTCTGGGCAAGTAGAAAACACAGGGTCACCTGAAATACTTCCTGAAATATTCTAAAGATAAATAATTACTAGGTTTGTAAGAGTTTCCTTTAATTACGGAACGGGACTTCTAATTAATCCTTGTCATGTTGCAAGACTTGCTCAGATAAGTTTCTGTAGGATGTTAGCTAGTTTTGAACTTTGATGGGCAGCAGTGCTGATGTGTCCTGCCACACTCCTTATGCACCCTTGAAAGGTTATTTTTCATTGTAATTCCAGCCAGAAGGGGAAAATGATGCTATTACGCCTCAGATATCAGAGGAGTCAAAGAGCTCTTATCCTCTTTTCTTATCCAGGCACTGGAAATTCGTGGCTTGCATTTCTGGGAGCTCTGCAACTCGTTTCTGTGGTCACAGAAATAGGATCAAATTGAAGGAAAGATGAGGAAGAGTGTTAATAACTGGATGTTACCTGGTTTTCCCACCCTTTTCCTTTGTTTTATAGCCAGATATGCAAGAAAGAAATAAATATTAATCATCCTTTTGAAAGGAATGAAGATAATCCTGTACTTGTAGCCTCAATATTTATTGTCCACAGAATAAATGTGCTCTTAAAACAAACAAACAAACAAACAAACAACAACTCTCTTCATATTTTGCTCTTTTTTTTTTTACAGGGCTGGCATTCTTTCAGACAAAGCGTGAGTGCAGAGATGAATTCATGTGGTCGGCACAAGAAAGTGGTTTATCTATTTTTGCCTGCTAAAGCCCTCACGAAGCTTTAACTGTCTTTACGAAATCTGAAGGAGAACAGAGGATTTGGGCGTTACTGCTTGATGTTTTTCTGCAATCAATACATTTTCGAGGCACTTTGCAGCACTGATATTTTGTTAAGCAAACACATCTGTTTCCAGGTACGGCTCTCTCAGCTTGGCCAGGGTGTCTCAGCATTTATTTCAGCCATCAGCTCCCACACCCGTTCCTGTATTTACCCAATTTAGGAGATTCTTTTCCTTTGGTGGCTCTTTATGTTTTTGTGCCTTAAATTGCAAAGAGCAGTAAATCAGGAATATACACCACTCCTGATTCCTAAGTAAACACGCACACTGACTTTAACTAATTTTTTTTCTTCAGAAAAATGAACATGTTAAGTAGCAGGGTTAGGATCAGATCATACCAACACATGCCAGGTAATTTTTGGCCCTAATGGCAAGATTCTGTCAATGCTAAAGTCTGTGTGCAGTTTAATTACTGGGTAAGTGGACATTATATTTGCATAATGGCGTTAAATTACAATTAATTACATTACATTACAAACCTTTGGGTTTTTTTTCATTACTCTCCATGAAGGTAGGCATTCATTTTTGGAAACCATGCAGTGGGAACTTCTGGCATCCTAAATTCCATCTAGAATTTATATTTTTAATATCATTCCTCGGGTTAGAAGCTGCCACGAGAAAAGAAGAGGAGTGCTACCAGTGCCTGAGGGTCCTTACACTGGCAAGGAATTGATATTGTAAGATATACCAGATTATCTGAGCAGGTAAATTACTTCTTGTACAAAGAGAAAGCCCAAAAAAGGCTGTGTTTTTCACCTAATGTAGAATTCCTTCCTTCCTACCCCCAGATCAGTGGCTCTGAACACGAGGGGTTTGGGGATGTCAGGGGGCTGTGACCCACATCATGCAGTTAGATCTGATCCAACTGCTGAGCTAAAATGCCACGGAGAAGGGCAGTAAAAATCAGATTTTACACAGTAGAGAAAACCAAAGGCTTCCTGGCTCACTTTTAATGATGTGCTCGATCCCTAAAGTGCTCAGAATAACATGGAAACTTCTTCCTTCTCCAGGAAAGTGTGAGAAAGGAGAGGCTGAAAGTGTCTACAGCTCTATTGGCTGTCAGTTGGAAAGATCAGTCCTCAGGGATCACAAACAGGTGTTTTCTCCTGGAATTTGGGCTTTCCTCTAGGCAGACTTCCAGGGCAGGAGATGCCCAGGGGTGTGAGATGTCAGCGTGCATCTTGCAGGAGTGAGTCAGGACCGGTGGGGAAACGGCTTCTTCCTGAGTGACAGATGTGGATGTGGAGTGAGGAACACTCCAGGGCATCAGAAACGCTGCTGAGTGCCTGTACTTTGGCACTCACATCCTATCTCACTCTTTTTTACCTTTCCTTATGCTACTTAACTGCATATTAACTTGTGGTTCGGCTCGCCAGGTTTTGACTTCCAGCTGTTCAATCCTCTGGTTTTTAATCAGCCAGCTGGGAATACTTCTTGACTTGGAGCCCAGCCTTGTCTTTAAAGCTGTGAAAGCAGTGGGGTCAGATATGTGCTGGTCTTCTGACCATCATCTTCTGACTTTGGCCTTGCTTGGTCCTGGCTGCCTCATGGGGCTGTTCAAAATCCTGGTGTTGGGTACCCCTTCGTGATATTTGGGACAAGGGGGATCGAGTGCTAGCAGGTCAAGTGAGCTGTTTTTCTAGTAGGTGGAAAAATATATTTCACAAAACCAAAACCAAAATCCTTTTCTTTTTCTAACAGTTGCATGGCAGTGCTGGTCTTTCTTTAATCCTCATTTTTAACTTGTTTTGTTTGGGTTTTTCCCGGATTTTTTCCCCCTTTTTTTCCTCCAGAAAAGAGTTAGAGGCTTTACTATTTCACTAGCTTTCTCTGAATATCTTTGCAAAACAGGCAGAATTTTTTTTCTCTAGTAATTCAGCTCCAAGGTCTGACAGCTTTCTGTATTTTCATGAGTTTTCCAATAAAGACTGCCTGCTAATGATGTTTTAAACATTTGACACTGGGTTTATGTCATGAGGATTTTCCCCGTGGCGAAGCATAAGGCATTTCTTTATCTGCTTTTTTTTTTTTTTTTTGTGGGAGGTAAAAGTTTTGACAAAGTTGTGGGAGATTCCTCATTGACACAGGTTATAAAATCAGGAGGGAAGAGATAAAGCTGCACACACTTTCCCAGCTTTCCAGGCAGGATGTCCACTTACTCTCATCAGAGAGCTGAATTTGGGAGTAACCAGAGCATTTGCCTAAGGATATTCCACCCATGGTGAAGCGCCCAAGGAGGTTGTGGCCTGCAGATGTCTCAAAGGTACCACCACTGCTTACCTCTCTGATTGCTTTTGTATTTGTCTCATTATTTATCCCTTCTTTGGGTAATAATTTAAAACAGAAGTGACTTTCTTTGCTGTAACAGTCAGTCTGATGTGTTATGGATAGAAATTTTAAAATACGTCCTAACTGAGGTACTGACAAGAAAATTTTCTGCATGTCAGGCATCCTCAGTATCAACCTTGCCTTTTCTCCATGTTGAAAAAATCAACAACAGAAACAGCTTGTAAATGTCTGTATTATCAAAACTGGGCAGCTGCTGTCTATTTTGCTGGATTTCTACCCAACCTTGCTGGGGGGCTAAGTGAGTGGCACATTATATTGGTGATTTACTCCTTCTTTAAGATAGTGCAGACTTTGCTTTTGCTGAAAATCCCTGGTTTATTCACTTTGTTCTCCAAGATGTAACCCAAAACTGGTTACTTCTCTCGACATTCTTTTTGTTTAATTATGTTCATTTGAGATTCCACGGGTTTTGGCGGCAGCAGTGCTGCTATCAGAAAGAAATAAAGCAATTCCTCATGTGTGTATTTTCTCATTCCACTGGATGAAATGTCTTTGGGTGATCTGACTTGAACTGATTGCTCTCTCTTTGGGGAAAAGCAGGGGTGTTACCCTGAGGCCACCTTCTCTTCTTGAAACCTTAATTTCTGCGCAGTATAGTTTGTCTAAATAGGAAAAAAACCTCTTACATTAGCAGCAGGAAATGTGAGTCAGCTTGATTACCACCTGAGGTTAGATGTGGATGTGTAAAATGTACCTAAATGGAATGTATAATATATACAGTCTTTTTATGTGTCACCTGCCAGAATGTCAGCGTGCCTGTGTGGTCAGTCCATTAGCCTTAAAAGGGACAATTTTTTCCCTGGGCACCATGCTCTAAAATAACTGATTGGGGTCATTAGTTTGTTTAATTTCATTGCTGCTGGTTTAGCTTACAAAAACGTGGATGGACTTCCTTTTCTTTTTAGCCATGTGCTTCGAGCAATTCTGTTTTCCTTTAAGCTAAAAACATTTCTGTATAAAATGTCACATCTAGAACACCACATCTTTTATTAACCTCCAAGGAAGCCTGAACTTTTGTGCTAGAAACGGACAGGGTCACCAGAACAATTTGTTCTTCGTCTACCCTGTTACACATCGACTCTGAGAATTCCCAAAGATCCTCTGGGCTGCTGCAAGCCAGCAACCCGTTCCCAAAACGACCAAGGCAGTGCAGTGCAGTCACGTTGCTTTTCACTGGCTGTGGTCAGTTATTTCCCCAGATTCCATCCCAGTGATTATCCCATTATGGGGTTTGTTTTTTGGTTGTTTTTGTTTGTTTGTTTGTTTGTTTGTTTTAGTGGCCCACTATTTGATAAGTATTTCTCCATTAATTTTCACCTATTTCCATCAAGGTGAGGCTGACTGGTCTGTGGGGTTTTTTTATTCCTCTAGCTCCTGTGGCTGGGCTTTTTTAATTTTTTTTTTTCCCTCTCCATTTTGATAGAATGAAGGAGCAGTGAAAGGACTAAAAATTGATTTGTCCTGAAACAAGGCTGGGATTTCTTTCCAACGGAGCTTGACAGTGGGAGAATACATTCTCCTCATTAACATCACCTGGAGACCCAGTAAAGACGTGATGCTGCAGCATAAGCAGCGGAGCACTGTGGATTTTGTAACTCATCATCAGGAGTTTACTGCAGAAGAACATTTGTAGTCTTTTCAATTGGTGCCTATTATGTCATATCATATTTTAGGGCACTTCAGGGCACTCTGCAATTACTTCCAAGGCTCCAAACTGAAAACCTCCCTATTCTTTCATGAGTTTGTCCTTCTATGGCAGTATTAACTTTCCCTGCCCAAAGCTTGGTGCAGCACAGGGGAAAGTCTCGGAGAGCGACGTCTAAAATACTCCCTGAGACTTCAGGTGTCACAGGGGTGTCCCCTTGCAGAATAAAAAAGCCTTTGCCTTGGTTGTCATGGCTGTAAATTCAGTGGAGACTTGTGGTTGTGCTTGACACCAGCTCAGGCAAGATCCTCTGAAGGCCATCCACTCTATTTTCAGTGCAAATTAATAAAGAATTCTCCTGTATATTGTATGCACAGACTCCAGAGGAGAAGCACAGGCAGGAGTGCTGGTTCAGGACTTCTGATACTTCTGGCACTGATTTTGCTGATTTGGTTGTTTGGTTTATTTTTGTTTGGTTTTTTTTTTTTTTGATAAATCATCTTTTCAGTTCTTATTAGAAAACCAAAAAAGCCTGGCTTTGCACCAGGCTCTTTCACTGCTAAGCCAATAAAGAGCAAGATTTTATTCAATTCAGAGGTATTCAAATACTTTTGCCAGGTACTTATTGTTTGTGTTCTACAGATATTCATATACTACTGGGACTTGGCTGAAAAGTAATAATAGATATTCCTGCTCCCCTCTACTTCTTCCTGGTATTAAGGAAGAGAAGCTTTGTAGGTATGTATGATTCATGTATCTCTCTTTGTCTAGTGTTTTTCCCACTTCATATTAGGCTTGAGAAGCATTTACTTAACAAGATCAACTCAAATTGGTATGTAAGGCTTGAATAGATATATATATATATATGTACACACTATTTCAGTGATGATGAAAGCCCCTGCTAAAGTTGATTTTAAAATGCATGATGATAACCTTGGAAGTTAAATTTAAAACAGCTGCTGCAAAAACGATTCCTGTTACTTTGTAATGTTGTCTTCAGGTCTAGTCCTTAATGGGTTTCTCTGAATGGATCAGGGTCTTTTTGTCCCCTTAATGCCACTGGAAACATATACTGCTGAATTTGATGCAAATCCACAAGAACTAAGAAGAAGATAATAAGAGCCTTGCCTTGTGTAATCCCCTGCCACACACAGCAGTGTGTATATCCACCTGAAGCTAATGCTCTCCTCCTCGGTTAGCAGCCTGATCTCTCAGTTAGGTATTTAAACACAGGAACCAAAGAATCAGCCATGCTTGTAATTCACCTTCTTCGATGCTTAAGGACCAGCAGAGACGGGATTATCATTATTGCAGGCAGAGCACTGGTTCTGCTGTGTTAAAGCTGGGAACTGTTTTGTGTTGAAGGTTGACTGTCTCCTGCATGCTTTAAAACACGTGTCCTTACACAGATTACCTCACAAATGACTGTGTCCCATAGCTATGCTGAGAGTCATCAGAAACAGGCCTTTTTTTTTCTTGCTTTATTTCAGCCTGGTTGAAAAGAATACTGAGGGAGTTGTTTCTATCACAGAAAGAACATCATATCATTTTTTCTCACTGGAAGTCTCCAGTGCTTCAGCTCTGTTTGGCCTTATTTCTGCCTGCAAAACTGTGCTGTTAGCAGAGCTGGCATGAGGTGGATGTTTGTTTTTCCTGGCAGGGTGTACATATCAAAAAGGTTTTGCTGCAGAGAAGGCCCAAGAGATCTCCTGCTGATCCAAACTAGGTTGGATATTGTACATATTTTCCTTGGTGAGTGAAACTCTCCTCTTCTCTGCCTAAGCAGAGGTGGCATAAGGAGCTTTTGGGACAGTTTCTCTCTTGCTGGGACACGGTGTTCAGCAGTCTTCTTCCTTTTGTTATGTCAGAAATTCCAGAGAAATGATTCCTAAGCATAATTGAGTCCCAAATAGCTGTCAGAAAATATTGTAAGAGTCATCATGGGCATGTGAGAATTGCTCCCAGAACACACCATGCACTCCTGTTCTAAGCAGAACACATTTCCTTTTCACGTGTCAGGGGTGTCTGTGGCTTTTCCCCATAATGCCATTACCACCCTTCTGTGCCAACAGACTCCTGATTTCGTTCCCATCATGTTTGTCATCCGTAGATTACTCTGTGTGTGGTCACTAGATAAATGCTTCACCTCCCCTGCTGCCCTCAGGGAATAGAAGTTTCACCCTCAAATCTGACTATTGGGTGAACTAGCTGTGCTTTGGGAAAAGTATTTTCAGACCTCTTTGGTGTTACTTAAAAAGGACCACACGTGCCTCCTGCATTTCTAATGATGCTGATGAGTTCACTTTCTTTGGGGATTTATTAGGAAGCGTAATGGAAACACAACTGAGGATGGAAAAACGGATGAGAAGTTCTGACTGCCCCAGCACTGTGCACGACACAGCTCAGAGCCTGCTGGGTTTGCTGCTGTGGAAGAAAGCAAAAGCAAATAACATATGGAGGCAATTTTTACCCATTTGTACGAGCCCCTGACAGTCAGATCTGATTTCTCCTAGCAAAGACAAGAAAGAATGCCTCTTGCAACTATCCTGCCTTCGTCTGTAATTGAATTATAATCACCCCCATTGCTCTTGTAGAGGAAAGCAGATGGTAAAATATTACTTCAGAGCGTTTTGGGGAACACAGGATTTTTCTTAAAGGTTATTAGTGCTTCTACTGAAGCATTCTAGAGGTGACTGTAAGAATATGCTTGGGATTTCTGATGCTAATGCAGAAATAACAGGGAAAGGAGGTTATTATTGCATTTGTATTGCAAACTGGTAAAAGAGGTTAAATCCATTCAAGCTATCACTGAATCAGATGTTCTCTGGTTCACCTTTTCAGGGCAGTGTAGGTCAAAAGGGAGTGTTGATAGCTGAATTAAACCTTGTCACAATAACAAAATAGGCTCATTTGTGGGAGATTTGATAAGAAGTTAATGGTGGATTTGCTACTTCTTGCATATAAAAGGAATATAGCGCTAATTTATAGATTTTTTTTTTTTTAAAAAGTTTTTCCTGTTTTTTTTTTACTAATGGATAAACGTGTGCTGAATAGAAATCTTAACACCGCTGCTGGTGCTGGTTAGAGGAATATATTCAAAATAACAACAGAGCTTGCCAAAGAGCAACTTGAGGGGTGATTTTCCATTTTTGTGCAGCTAATTAAGCACAGAAATGAAGCGATGGTGCCGGGCTTTTCCACGTGGCTGACAAGCACATAGAAAATTTCAGCTGCTGAAACTGGAAATAAAGACAGATTCAATAGTTAGCAAAATGTGTTGGGCATAGGGAGATGTTTGGTTGGGGTTTTTTAGCTGTCAGGTGTTGCATATTTTGATTTCGCTGGAATATTGGTAAATTCCTTTGAGCTGGTGAAAAAAAACAGAATTTGGTGGAGAGAGAAACTGAAGTGGTACAAAAGCAGTATTTGGCAGAGAGCTGCTGAAAAGGGTTACAGTGATGTTTTGGAAGTGTAAGAACAGTCTGAAGAGGCATGAAATCCCTTGATGGGGTCACTTGTTAACAAAGCTCTTACGAATGACTAATAAAGGGAAGGGGTGAAAAGAAAACTCCTGTTCTCACTCCTCATTCGTAGAGTTTAGATTTAATCCTGTCATTGACTGAGATTTCCACAAACTTAACATTAAAATATAGTAAGCCTTTAATCTTTTTACTTACTTTTTAATCAGAACAGCAAAAATCTGATTTTCTTGCAGTTTTACCGTGTGTAAATTGGAGCACTTGAAGAGATATGGAATCTGGCATCACATACTCGTATGGAACTTGGTTTGTCTTGATTTGATAGCGTGTTCCCAAACTGGACAAGTAGAACTGTGGGGAGCCCAAAGCCTGGCGGTTATGAGATGTGGAAGTGTGAAGTGGAGACCAAAGAAGAAGTCTGTGAAACTTCCAAGACTTACACATTCACTACCTTCAAGTGACCATCCAAGCTTCGTATGGTTGTAATCCGTCCCCTTGAAATGTAGCCCCCCTCCTTTTGTCAATTTTATGAGGGGTCCCCTATGTTTCGAACCCTATGCAAACCCCTTTTCTACCTGTTGCCACACCACGGTGTAATATCTTTATTAACATTTATATTTATCCTATTTATTACACGTTACATTTATTCCATATTTATTAACACAGTTATGTCCCTTATATGGTCGTTTCCATGTATGGTTAGCCCCACCCCTATTTTGCTTACATGTCCCTGATTGGTAGGCTCCTCCCAAGCTCCGCCCACGTTGCCCCGCCCACTTTGCCTCAGAGCCCTATAAAAGCTGGTGCTACCCCATAAAAAATGGCCATTTTGCTTCACCGCAACTCCATGGCGGGGCCCATTCTTCCCCTGGGCCGCAACAAATGGCGCCCAACATGGAAGCGGGCTCGAGGTCTCTCATAGTGAGGGAACTCGCCCGCGCCCAATGTGGGGTGGAGCTCGAGGTCCCTCATACTGAGGGAACTCGCCCGCCTCACTCGGGTTTCTCGCTGTTCACTCTGGGGGTGTTCAGCACCAGCGACTCCCGGGATCGCTCTGAGGAAGAGGATCCTCAGGATTGGCACGCCCAAAGGTGAGCGGTCACCAAGTGACTTTCATTGCTTAAATCCCCCTGCCTACCCCGAAATTTAAAACAAAACTGGGAGCCTCGGTGTCCACAACAGAGAAGGACGCTTATCGTCAAATTAAAACTTTTATTCTCTCGCAAGGACGTCCAATAGATAAAGATTCTCTGCACTCCCTAGCAAAGTGGATTCAAAAGAATAAAGAGAGGTTTCCCAAAGTGGTAACTTGTAAAGAATGGGATCAAATTGATTTTTTATTGTATCAAGCAATTGGAAGAGGAGATAATTTAGCATCAAAGTCTCAATTAGCATAGAGACTAGTTCTAGCGCTTTTGCAACAGCGAGAGAAACAAAAAGAAACACCTAAAGTGCAAGGAGAGAACATAACGTCAAAAATCTCCCAGTCCGAGCCATAAATTAACGGCAAAGATGGCGTCGGGAGTCGTGAGGGGAGCACAAGGCGGGAAAACCCTCGACACACAAAATGGCCGCCATGGGGTCCCTCACGAGAAACGTTCACAAGATGGCTGCCTCCTCTGGGGCGGGAAAACGTCCGGACTACCAAAACCGCCAAATACCAAAATTATAGTTTAATATAAGTCCACACAGCTCGGGTGATCGCTTGAAGGTGGTGAATGTCTAAGTCTTGGAAGCTTCACGGACTTTTTCTTTGGTCTCCGCTTTGCGCTTCCACATCTCATAACCGTCGGGCTTTGGGCTCCCCTCATAGCACTGTCCAGGTTTCAGAATGGTATTTCACATAACTCCCTGGCTTTTCAAAAAAGAGTTAAAGAACTTTCTCTGTTGTTGGTGGGAAGATAGAGGTGACTGTCTTTTTTCGTCCCTTCTCAGTAAATTAATGAAATAATTAATAGAAAACACTGACTATAACTTATATATATATAACCAAGACTAATAACTATATATATAACCAATGCTAATTACTATAACTATATATATATATATAAAATCAAGTTCTGGTTAATAAATTCAAAGTAATCATATTAATTAGCTGATTGACAATTTGATCACGGTCAGTTGTAAAATGATTCTATAATACTGGAAAGACAACCTTATTTTAGGGACTAATCACTTCATTCACGAATTTTATTTCTGTGTAAGTGAGAATTGAAAACAGTCATTAGCTGTGAGTCATTGGCATAATGAAATCATGCCAGAGTCTGTGGAATCCCTCAAAAGTTGTTGAACAAAGTGGTAAAGTAACTAATTTGTAATTGAGAATTTGAGAGGAGATTAATACAGCGTCAGCTACTACTGAATCTATTTCCATAAACTAGATACCAGTTATTTTCACTTGTCCTTATAAAAGTATTTAAGCAAAAAACATGGTTCTATACCTCATAATATTTACCAAGTGCTTGCAATTTTTATCTGTATAACTTCCATGCATAAACGGAATTTCCTCCTTTTTTTCTGTGTTTTTATAAAATACACGGGAGAAAGAGTTTCTTTGGTAAATGCTGTGCTTGAGCAAGTAAATAAAGGTGACATTTTAAATTCTTATGTTCCATGGAAGGAAGGAAATGGAAAGAAGGTATGTTTTCCTTCCGTGTTGGAAAAAACCAAATACACAGGAATAGTCAGTGCTGCTTCAATTCAACCTGAAGGTCATGAAGTAGCAGGAAAAAAGCTACAATAGGAAGAGAAGTAATTTTTGTCACGTTTTGTGATGTGTAAAATAGAATTGGAGGTGGCAGGGGACTGTCAGCAATCGAAGAGAGCTCTTACAGAGGCTAAATAATGCTTGGTAAATGGTCAGCTGACCCAAGGAGGTATGTTCTGGGGCTGGTTAGAAACGAGCTGTAGGAGGGGAATGTGTTTCCATGATGTTCATGATGTTTTGGTCAGCTGGAATAGGAAATGATATGATACTTTTAATAAGGGTAAAAGAGGCAGGGAAAAAAAAAAAGTACTGTAAAATAGTTTTCTCTGGAGTCAGACTGTTTGTAGAAGGTGTTGTTTAGAGAGCCAGGGATCACAGACGAATTTTTCCCTGCAGGAACTGAGGTATTCAGGGTGTGATGTAATGCCCATGGCAGCCTGCAGAAGGATTCTTGCTGACTGGAGTGTGCTCTGGAGGAGATTCCCCAAGCACTTGGCTTCATTTGTCCTGCTTAGGTCAGGCTGACCTCATTTTGCTCGAAACAGAGTCAGGCTTACAGGGGATGAAGAGTGATGGATACCGAGAACAAGCCAGCAAACACTCAGCAGGGGATTTCGGTCTCTAGTGGCTGCTATGAAAGCCAGCCATTGACAGGAACGAGAAATGTAATTTGTTTTTCTAGCACGTGCTAAACAAGTGCCAGAATGAGTGATTCACTGTCTTCAATTTTAAATTAGCAGAATCTGTCCAGTTTTGTAAAGCAGCTTATCTAGCCTGCAGTTTTGTGACAGAGGATTCTGCAGTGTCCTCCAAGCTTTTGTGATCCTGGGAAGTACTGATGGTAACACCAGTGAATGATGTCATTTATATGCTAGAGCAGGCTGCCTCATCCAGAGCGTCAGCACGAACAGAATTCCAATTTTTTAAAACATGTTCATAGCCTAACTGGCTGTATCTTCTATGCTGGATCCTCTCCTCATTCTGCCTTCAGAAATTTACACTCCGAAATCAGGAAAAAGGGGAAAATACAGCTGCATCTTTCTGTTTCTAAGTCGCTGTCACACCAAGAGCTGGATTGTTAATGAGAACATGGCAAATTCCTGTCTCATAGCACCATGTGCATATTTTTATCTTTGGTGTCTCATTTCGAGTTTGAGGCAAATTCTGTCCATCCTCCAAGAAGGTGGTCAAAAAACACTCCTCCTTTAAACAGATGAACAATTCATCTGGACACCTGGAGAGTGTTTGGGAAGTCCAACCTAAAAAACCCAAACACTTTATTAAAGGTGTTTTAGGAAGGAGGAATTTTGAACTCTTGATGTGCTCGTGGCTTTTGAAGGGTGTCTGTAACAGATCACAGCTTTCTTTTGGCAAAAAGTGTTTGGTCTAATGCCTGGCTTTGAAGAATTAATATATCCGCATTATTTCAAAGGATAACTGTTGATTGATGTGAGAAGATTGTTGCTAATTGTTGAACTGCTCTTGTGTTTTTTCTGTGTACACAGCAGGGGAGAAGCAAAGAGAAAAAAAATAAGAAAGGCTTGGCAGGCGGGGCTGAAGGGTTGCTGTGTTTTGGGTTTCCATGTGTTCAACTTTCTCATCAACTTCAAAGACTTTATGTCTCTTCTGAAGCACTGTTGCACTCTTATCTGTAACCAGCACTAAATTTTCATCTTTTTATCGTTTCAGTCTACACTCAAGGTTTCATACAAACAAAAGCAGCACCAGCTGTAGTGATGTATATGATATATCCCTGGCTGCAGTGAGATATAAACATATATCATGTAAAAAGTGACACAGAAGGAATTTTGCAAAACAGTCAATCAAAAAGTGAGGCTTTCAGATGCTCTGTGTTCTAAAAAGGGGTTATGAGAGTGTTTGTTTTCAAAGAAGGTTACTTTAATCTTATTTCTTATGCTCTGCTCTAGAAGTATCAGTAACACCAGCTGCTCTTCTCCTCAGTTTTTCTGAATTCCTGCTGAGCTCCTCAGAAGGAGTGCATTACTCTTCCTCATGAAATTGGGGTGACCTGTCCGTGGCAGGGGATTGGAACAAGATGACCCTTAAGGTCCTTTCCAACCCAAACCTTGGTTTGGTTCCTTGTTTCTGTGGTCACTCTTTCACTTGCAGGTGGCAAAGAGCGTGTGGGTTTTTTTTCTCTCTCCCTGTAATATTGGCATCACAGGAAACTTAGACAGCCAGAGGGTATGGACAGCAGCCTGATCTGATTGCACTTCTAGGGAAAGCCACCTTTACAACGAGCAGTTATACAAAATCAAAACAAAACTGGGAGAGCTAAAGGATTTCCCTTTTCAGATGTCTTTCTGGTGGAGGAGCAGGGATACCTGCAAGGAGCAGTGAGTACTGTTTCCAGTCAGGGACTTGCTTCTTAGCAAACTCTTCTGAGAGCTCAATAAACAGTGATGATGTCCACTTTTTACTCAAACACAAAAGGAGTTGCAAAACATTGAGTGCATCATCCTTTCATTTGTAGCTGAAACACTTTTTCTCCTGGTGGTGGCAGTGGTGGGTGAAAAATTCTGACTGAAGAGCAAGATCAGGAAAAACTCACTAATTTATTTTGTGATTAGAACTGAACCCTCCGTCAAATGGACGTA